GGCGGGCCCGGGCTGGATTCGAACCCACCACCTTGGGTGTATGTGGCTGGCGCCTTAGCCACTTGCGCCACAGGCGCCAAGCCGAGACCCCGTCTCTTAAAAAAAAAAAAATAGCTGAGAGTGGTGGCAGGTGCCTGTCATCCCAACTACCTAGGAGGCTGAGGCAGGAGGATCACTTGAGTCCAGGAGCCTGAAGCTGCTGTGAGCTATGATGATGCCTCTGTACTCCAGCTGGGTCACACAGTGAGACCTTATCTCAGAAGAGAAAAAAGTGAGACGGACTTCTGGACTCCTGGCTCTAGCAGTCCATCTGGTCTGGTGAGGCAACTCGCAACACTGGGCTGTGTTCAAAGCCTCTGTCTCTTCTTGGCAGGGCCTGGGTCAGCCCAAGTTAGTCTATATACCAGTCTTTCCACCTGTAGATTTTAACTGACACCCATCGAGGTGGGCCTGATCTGGGCAGCAATGGGCCTCACCCTCTGGAGCCCCACACAGACCTTGAGAAGAAGAGGCCAAGGTGCCTAGGAAGGCCCTGTAGGCACTGGCCATGGGCCTGGTCAGGGGAGAGACACGCCGGCCACAGCAGGCAGACAGCCCTGCAGTGCCCTGTAAGCAGCAGACGCTTGGCCAAGCACTGCACTCACCTGCATGAGTGTGTGGCAGTCCATCACTAGGTGCCCTTTGGTGATCTGCTTGAACTTCTCACAGATGTCTGCAGTGCTCGTAGCTTCCAAAATGAACGCTTGATGTTGCTTAATCAAGGTCAGAGCCACTCGGAAGATAATCTTGGAGCCCTCGTTGAACAAACAGTCCCAGACCCGAAGCACTGTCTGCAGAGAGACAGAAACCCCTTGTCATACCCAGGGCAGCCTGCACTGCTTCAGGGCCTGCTTGAGGCACTCACCTCCACAGGAAGAACGTCCACAAACAGGCAGATGAACCAGCGAGACACCAGCAGGGTCCATGGCACACCATGCTGATCTAGCAGGGCCCCCACAGCTGGCAGCTTCATCGTCACCAGCTCCCCAAGGACCTCCTGGTCAGTCTTGAGGCCTAGCATGGCTGGGCTGTAGTAATCTGCCAGGTGGAGGGGAAGGAGACCAGGAGATGTGTGTTACACTCAACAAGCCACCAGCCCCAACAGCCGCCTCCTCTCAGTCCCTTTGGAGTAAAACAAGGTAGTCCTGGAGGACCCTTCCCAGACAGAGGAAGGCAAAGGCCAGAGTCTTGCGTACATGGGGTCCTAGAGATCACATCCTGCCTCAAGGTCTGTGTGGGGCTCCAGAGGGTGAGGGCCATTGCTGCCCAGATCAGGCCCACCTCGATGGGTGTCAGTTAAAATCTACAGGTGGAAAACAGGGATTCAGAGATGATGGCACACCCATATTGGTTTTTTGAGACAGAATCTCACTCTGTTGCCCTGGGTAGAGTGCTGTGGTCTCATTCTAGCTCACAGCAACCTCAAACCCCTGGGATCAAGTGATCCTCCTGCCTCAGCCTCCTGAGAAGCTGAGATTACAGGTGCTTACCACAACACTTGGCTAGTTTTCCTATTTTTAGTAAAGAGATGGGGTCTTGCTTTGCTCAGGCTGGTCTCCAATTCCTAAGCTCAGGCAATCTACCTGCCTAGGCCTCCCAGAGTGCTGGGATTACAGGCATGAGTCATCTTTCTTGGCCAGTATTTTTATTTAAGACAAGGTCTTGCTCTATTGTCCAGGCTGGAGTGCAGTGATGTCGTGATAGCTCACCACAGCCTTGAACTCCTGGGCTCATGTGATCCTCCTACCTCAGCCTCCCCAAGTGCTGGGGCTATAGGCACCACAACACCTGGTCCACACCTATGTTCATAGCAGCCTTAGTCATGACAGCCAAAAGTTGGAAACAAGAAGTTCGGGTGGAATAGATGATCAGATAAGTAAACAGGGTCCACACCCAGGGGCATCACTCAGCCTTACGAAGCATGGGGTCCGACACAGGCTGCAGCCTGGGCAACCCTTACGTTGTGTGAAGTGGCTGGACACATGAGGACCAACACATACGATCCCACTATCTGAGGTCTCTAGACTAGTTGAGTCCAGAACAACAAAAGAACGTGGCGCCAGGGCTGGGAGGGTGGGAAGGAAAGTCCATGTTTAGAGGGGACAGTCTCAGCTGCACAGAGTGGAAGGAGCATCTGAGATGGAGGGTGGTGACGGCTGCACAAGGGTGTGAATGTCCTTGATGCCACTGAGCTGAGCACTTGGACATGGTTCAGAGGCAATTTCTGTTACACATATTTACCCCCAATAAAAACAAAACGAATCTTGGTATATGTCCAGTGGCTTGTGATTAAGGCTTCCTCATCTTAAAACATTCCAAGCCTTTAGACAAAGCTTCATTTCTTTTTCTTTTATTTTTTTGAGACAGAGTCTCAAGCTATCTTCCTGTGTAGAGTGCCATGGCATCATAGCCCACAGCAACCTCCAATTCCTGGGCTTAAGCGATTCTCTTGCCTCTGCCTCCCAAGTAGCTGGGACTACAGGCACCTGCCACAACACCCAGCTATTCCTTGGTTGTAGTTGTCATTGTTGTTTGGCAGGCTGGGGCTGGATTCAAACCCACCGGCTGGATTCAAGCTCTGGTGTATGTGGCTGGCACTTTAGCCACTTGAGCTACAGGTGCCAAGCCAAAGCTTTGTTTCTTTAACCAATCAAAGCATCTTTAAGCCACCTAAATCCAGTAATGCCTCTGCTTGAAGATATCCCAGCTTTTAGGCCTTTTATACACTGATGTGACTTTAGGTGCAATTCTGTCTCCAAACTGACCCAGCCATGGCGAGTCCACTTGCTCAAGGCCTCGTGGGGGTGGCTCTGGGTCATGGTCACTTGTACCTGGCTCAGAATAAACCTCTTCAAATTACTCTCAAGTTTGGGTTCTTTTCCACTGACACTTTACTTTGAATGAACATTTGTTTTACCAAAGCATTTGGGTTTCCTGTTTAATTTTTTAGCTTGTTAATATGTGTTGCAATAAATTTTATTGCTTGCTTTATGCTATTACATAACTTAGTATGTAGTGATCTGTGTTGGGTTTGTTGGCACACACTGTGTAACCAACAAGGCATCTCATCCTGTGCCATATCCAGTCTGGCCGTTCTCCCTGGCAGGAGGGATGAGCTTGGTTAAAATACAGTAATCACATCATTGATGGCGATATCAGCGATGTTCAGAGAGTGAGCACACAGTGAAGGACGTTAAACATAAAGCACTTGAGGGCAGTTTAACTGAAGCCAATTCAGTCACACAGTTCCAAGGACTAGAACACAATTCCCTTTCATAACCTTATCTTGCATGCATCTGTTGGTTTGTTTGTTTATTTGAGACAGAGTTTCACTCTTGTCACCCTGGGTAGAATGCTTTGGCATCATACCTCACAGCAACCTCAAACTCTTGGGCTCAAGCAATCCTCTTGCCTCAGCCTCCTGAGTTGAGTAGCTGGGACTACAGGTGCCTACCACAACACCCCGGCTATTTTTAGAGTTGCAGGGTCTCACTCTTGCTCAGGTTGGTCTCAAACTCTTGAGTTCAAGTGATCCACCCCCCTCAGCCTCCCAGAGTGCGAGGATCACAGGTGTGAGCCACTGTGCCCAGCTTGCGTCCATCTCTTGGACCTTTGTGTGAGTTGTGCTTCCTTAGTGGGGCACATTCTGTTCCACATCCACAACTGGCACCAAGTGGCCTTGGCCCAGCACAGAGCAGCTCAGAGCAGCTTCTAAAAATAGAGGCACTAAACACATGGCCTGTACTCCACAGGCTGAGGGAAGGCCCAGGGGGATTAAAGTAAACTCAGGCACTCACTTCACTCTCAACGCACTTCTCTGGAGTGCTGAAGGCTCTGGGCATGGGCACAAGGAGAGGTAGCCAGGCTCTTCCTTCATAGCTGACTGGCAGGCTCTCATGTTCCCATCCGGGCCCCTGTCCCTGTCCTGGGTACACCCACACCTCTGCAAACAACTGAAACTGCACTGCCCTGCAAGGCTTGGGGCCAACACCTCCCCTGACGTGGAGAGTGTAGCTCCAGCCTCCTGCAGAAATGCCTGGTGGGAAGCAGCCGTGTCCAGACGCAGCCGCAGCGGCTGCCAAGGGCTGCCACTTCCTGAATGCACCGCAGCTACTCTCCAAATCCTCCATAATGAGTACACCAAGTTGCACAACCACTCAAGTGAGTTGCAAGGCCACACACAACCACTCACACACGTGTTCTATGGCTGCTGTCTCAGACCCGTGGGGTCTCCCCTGGTGTCTTCCTTTGGACCATGCAAGGTATAGGCCAAGCCACTTCATTACCACTACCTTAATAGCAGTTGACGAGCAGGACTCGGAGGCTGTGGGCTTCAGTCTAAACCTAACCTCCTGATAGACTCTGTATGAAAATGAGGAAAGAACCCAGACCTTGACATCATTGAGGTTGCAAACCCTATTAAGTGGTGTAAAATCGGGGCCACAAGAAAGGCAGGACAACCTAATACCTGTTGCAGAGGCCCCTCCCCCCCAGATCCAGGTCAGCGTCTCACCCCAGCCTTGGCGGCTGCCAGCTCCTCAGTGTACAGCACCCACTTTAGGAGGCCAGCCTACAAGTCGGCATCTGCCGCTGTGGGTGAGCTGGGAACGCCCTGGGTGGCTGTGGTGCACATCGCCAAGTTCCTGCTCAGCAAGCCTTGCTCAGCACCTCTGGACGGGCCCTGTGGGCTGGTCATAGGGAACTGGTGCCTAGTCCAGGTGCTGCCAGGACCCCCAGGACCCTGGGGTGTCTGTGCCTCTGTCCTCCACGCCACCTGCGACCTCACATGGCATCAGACACCCAGAAAGTAGCCTCCCTGCAATTGCCAGCAGCTGTGTGACACAGACACGCCTGTCGTTTACTACCATTCCACCCCTACCAGAAAACATCCCCTCACATGGAAAGGCCCCGTAGTCGGCGCCCAGCGACTCCTTAACTCCACCCATCTGCGCACACCACAGTCCCAGTTAGCAGGGCCCTGGGGGGTGGGGCCTGTCGGCCTCCTGCCCCAAAGCCTCAGCTGCTTCTCAGGACCTGCACATGGCAGGAGGGGATGGACAGGACCCTGACGGTGTCTCAGAGGGCAGCAGGGAGCCTCAGATGCAGACACAGGCTCTGACCCCCAACTCCCACCTCTGGGGTGTCTGTCTCAAGCAAGTGGGGCTTCCTCTGTAAGCACGTCACCTTGCACTGTTAATGATGATGGAAGGACTGGGATGAGCACCAAGCTCCGCAATGTGCCATTTTGGCAGGTGGTGTCTGCTGCGCTAAAGGCAGGGAGAACCGGCAGGAAAAGCCAAGAGCATGGCCTGAGTTTCTGCTTCGGTAAAGGAAATTTCCACCATAGCAAAGTCTCTCTGCTGCTAGAATCCCATCACAAACCTTACAAAACCCCCATAGGGCTTCCTCTCTTCCCACCCAGAGGCCCCACGCTGTGTTTTGGTTTCAGCCTGAGATGTCACATGAGCTCCAGGCCCTGCACCAAGTCCCAAATATCACTGCATGACACAAGGAGCTCTCACCAGAACACAGGTTCCCTGCACGTGTTTCTGACACAGCTGAGACAGCAACCAGTTTCTTAGGAGGCTGAGGCCGGGGGAATCACCTGAGCCCAGGGGCCTTGACACAACCCTGGGCAACATAGCAAGATCCCAACTCTCAAAAAGCAGCCAAGGCCAGCAGAGGCAGCAGCAAGGAGGAGTGCGATTTGCGCCACCCTCTCTGCAGCAGCCTGTATGGCCATCGTTATGGCCATCGTTCCAACCTCGGAGCTAAAGATCTACTTCTCTGCACCTTTCCAACAAGGAAAATGTCCCTGTCGATGGAACAGTGATGCGTGCATGACGCACGCAAAATGAGGTTCTTGGAGGCACAGGTGAGTCTGGGGCTGGGGCAAGAGGTGCACAGATGGGCATAGAACAGCCACCAACACACAGCCAGTGAGCCCCCAACACTGCCAGGGTCACCACCAACACAGCCGGCAAGCCCCCGACACTGCCAGGGTCGCATCCAACACAGCCGGCAAGCCCCCGACACTG